TCATTATTAGAACCCCCCCCCCCTTATTAAACCAGAGTAACATAAATTTCATCTCTTGAACTCATACACCACCTGGGATCCACATAAAACTGCGGAAACATGTAGAAGAGACCTCAAAGAAAGTGTATTTAAAGTTTTACAGTGATCCTGTATAATATATAGAAGTTATAATTTTTTTCGGCAATAAAAAAAAAATTCAAACCTTGAACGGCGTATCAGCAAAGAGCATTAATTTCTTGAAATACCACCATTTATTCAAACTTTTAACCTGTCTGTATGACCTCTGACCTTGACCCAATGTTCATGTCCATGCTCTAGGAAATAATGCCATATTATCAATTCTTTAACCCACCGCTAATAATAAAAAAAACCCATCAAGAATGACCTTGACCTTTGACCTTGACCTTAAACGTTTGACCTTGACCTTTAACCTTAATTTAAAATTCATACCCAAGCTGCAAAATACAAAATCCGCTTATTTATTATAAGACTCCCCCCCACCCCTTATTAAACCAGAGTAACCTAAATTTCATCTCTTGAACTCATACACCACCTGGGATCCACATAAAACTGCGGAAACATGTAGAAGAGACCTCAAAGAAAGTGTATTTAAAGTTTAACAGTGATCCTGTATATTATATAGAAGTTATAAATTTTCTCGGCAATAAAAAAAAAATTCAATCCTTGAACGACGTATTAGCAACGTAGAATATTTTTTTTTCCAAACTCACGCCAAATTCCGATTGACTTGTAATATTCAGGAACATGTAGAACAGACCACAGCAATATATTCTGTGGAGTTTCACGGCCAGAGTTTATGGGATACAGAAATTATGAATTTTTACGGCATAAATATCTCATTTTTCGTTATGGAAATTTCCCGTGCAAATGATAAAACATGTCATATAAAGCTTTTGTCGTCCATTTTTTTTTTATGTTTAAGTTGAACTAAATTCTACTAATATGATATGATATTTTAATATCGAACATCTTTCATTTTGCTTTCCTGGGGAGTAAATGCGATGTTTGTTTACATTTGAGCAATACACAGAAATACACGCAAATAGCGGTTCTCGATATAAAAAGTATAATGTACCCTTACCATGCTGTGTTTCCCATTCAGAAATAAATGTTTACCATTGAATAAATCATTTAAACTTGAAAGATAATTGTTCACACATAAATTCACGGTGATTTCGCTGTGATTCATGTAAATTCGGAATGTGTGTCAAATATCGAACCCGACTTTCGCAGTTTTTTATTCTCATGTAAACAAACCGGCCAGCCTCTCCAGCTCTTTTTGTAGACATGAATTAATCAACATTTCCTGATATATATAACACCGAAAGCAAGTGCAGAATATTTTTTATTAAACAACTTCTCATTATACACCAATCAGGTAAAGCAGAAATCTTTTCTGTCCGCGCAATCTTGTGCCACAACTGGTTAATTATCAAGGTCTTCCGTCTTCAGCGGAAGACCTTCTTGTTATGTTCCCCAAACGAAGTTGGGGAACATATTGTTTTTACTCTGTTTCTTATTATTATTATTCTTATTATTATTATTATTATTTTTCTTCCTGGGAAAATCTTTTCCGCGAGTGATCTTGTAAACTATACATCTGACTTAGGTGAAACCTTTTTAGGGTAAGTAGGCATGTTATGTAGATTTGCGGAATCAAGGTCATTTTGCGCGCACGTGCTTGCAAGAGCGCGCACGTGCAAAACTTAAAATGACCAATATATAATGGATATAACCGTAACTTTTCTATTATGTGACGAAATGTTTTGAAACTTATAATGCAAAGATATATTAGTAGTATGCACAAGATGACATGGTCAAAATAGCAAGATCGCACGCGCATGCACGTGCACTTCGCTTTGATTGGCTGAAACTAAAGTCTCAATATCTTTTTTGTTTTTTGATAAAATCATTTGAAATTTTGAACATAGTCATACATTAGGGAGATCTATAGCCTGTAATTTAAGATTTATCAAGAAAGCATGTGCATGCACATGTGCTTGCAAGAGCTCGCACGTGCAACACGAGAAATGTCCAATATAATTGATACAGACGTAACTATTTAAATTATTGATGAAATGCTTTGAAATTCATATTATAAGTATGTATTAGAAGGATAGACAAAATGACATGGTCAAAAAAGTAAGATCTCACGCGCATGCGCGTGCGCTTCGCTTTGATTGGCTGAAACTAAAGTCTCAATATCTTTCTTGTTTCTTGTCATAATCCTTTGAAAATTTGAACATAGACCTACATTATGAAGATCTACAGCGTGATGTATAAGAATTTTCATGAAAGCATGCGCATGCCCACGTACTGCAATCTGATTGGCTGAAACTTTAAATGGCTATATCTCCTTTGTTTTTTGACGAAATGCTTTGAAATTGAAAACATATTCATGCATTACGATATACTACATTATGATGTAGAAAAAAAATCATGAAATCACGCGCATGCACATGTGCTGCAATCTGATTGGCTTAAACTTGAAATGGCTATAACTCCCTTGTTTTTCAACCAAACAGGATGGGATTAAGAATATAGATAAATATAAGGGACTCCTACAAAAAGGTATGGTCATCATGCACGTGCACGCACGTGCGTGCATTTGGAACGAGTGAAATGAAAAATACTTATGAAAGAATGATTTTTAATACTTTTGGACTGAATGCTTTAATATATTGTATATTAAAATATGAAGATAGTGTAGACAAGATGATATGATCATAACGCACATGCATTCACCTGCGCACGGGTGCAATGCTAAAATTTGAATATAATTGGTATCCTTCTGAGAAAACGTTGTTAAAGTCAAAAATGCACAGAGTTTTTCTTATTTAATGAAGCTTACAGGGAATATGGCAACAAAAAGGAGTTGGGGAGCGTTTGGGGAACATCTGTAACGGTTCCCGTTACAATTAGCACTAGTTATTATTATTATTCTTTTTTTTCTTCTTTGTTCTCCGGTACTTTTTTGTCCGCGAGTGTTCTCAGAAACTGTTCACCCAATTGAGCTAAAACCTTTTTAGGGTTAATAGGTGTGTAGTGTAGGTGTGCAACACGAAGGTTATTTTGCGCGCATACGCATGCACGTGCGTGCGCGTGAAATGAGTGAATTGACTGATATACTTAATATAGCTATTACATTTACATTTTTTGATGAAATGATTTGAAACTCATTATATAAAGATATATTAATACTGTAGATAATGTGACACTGTCAAATTAGCACGAACTCACGCGCATGCACGTGCGCTTCGCTCTGATTGGCTGAAACAAAAAGCTCAATATCTTTTCTGTTTTTTGACGAAATGCTATGAAATTTAAAACATAGGCATACTTTAGGATGTACTACAATATGATATATAACAATTGTCATGTAAGCACGCGCATGCACGTGCACTGCAATCTGATTGGCTTAAACTTTAAGTGGCTATAACTCCTTTGTTTTTCAACCAAACAGTATGGGATTTAGAACATAGACAGACATAATGGACTCCTACAAGGCGGTGAAGTCGTCATGCACATGCGTGCACTTGTGCTTTGCTGTGATTGGCTGAAACAAAAATCGCAATATCTTTTTTTAATTTTTGACGAAATGCGTTGAAATTTTACACATAGTCATGCATTAGGATGTCCTACAATATGATATATAACAGTTGTCGTGAAAACATGCGCATGCACGTGCGCTGCAATCTGATTGGCTTAAACTTTAAATGGCTATTACTCCCTTGTTTTTCAACCAAACAGGATGGGATTTAGAACATAGACAGTCATAATAGACTCCAACAAGATGGTATGGTCGTCATGCACGTGCGTGCACGTGTTCTTCACTCTGATTGGCTGAAACAAAAATCTCAATATCTTTTCCGTTCTTTGACGAAATGCTACGAAATTTAAAACATAAGCATACAATAGGATGTCCTACAATATGATATATAACAATTGTCATTAAATCACACACATGCACGTGCGCTGAAATCTGATTGGCTTAAACTTTAAATGGTTATAACTCCCTTGGTTTTCAACGAAATAGGATGGTATTTAGAATATTGATAGACATAATGGACCCCTACAAGAAGGTATGGTCATCATGCACATGCTTGTAACGTGAAATGAGTAATTTAAAAATATGCTTGAATAAGTGTATTTTTTAATACTTCTGGATTTAATGCTTTGATATTAAGTCTATTTGAATATATATACATAGTGTAGAAAAGATGATATGATCATTACCCACATGCATTCACATGAGCTCGCATGTAATGCTAAAATTTAAATATATTTCATAGTCTTCTGGGAAAACATTGTTTAAGTCTAAATTGCACAAAGTATGTCTTATTTGATAGAGTTTAAGGAAATATGGCACCAAAAGGGAGTTTGGGAGTGTTTGGGGAACATCTGTAACGGTCCCCGTTACAATTAGCCCTAGTTATATAAGCAGTACTTGATCATACACTGTGTGGAATGTGCCATAATCTGACCAGATACAATTACACTCGGCTCAGAATCCTGTCTCAGGTTCTATTTCATCAGTTATCTGGTTTCCTAAGGTTGAGGAGTGCTGCTCTCTGTACAAATTGAAGGGTGGCACATTGGTACAGAACCTTGGGCTCTACAGCACTCTTCTCTGCACCAGTTATGGGGTTGCAGATTGGTGCAGATCTCAGGGTCTTAAACTGTTAACCTGTTCTGTCTTTATTCTTCCTCCTGCTAATGATCAATTGCACATGTTTCTTCAGTGCTAACTTCCTAACACTTTTTAAATATAAGAGGTTTTTCAAGTCTATCTTCATGAAATAAAAGGATTGAAGCATTTTCATTCATCTTTGACTCTAAGTTGATGAGACAATCTAGGTTTCATGGTTATCATCAATAGGAAAAGGAGTTCATTTTTTAGTAAGGAATCTGTCAATAACAGCTACCTCTAAAGATGTACTTTTACAGATACTGACCTAGATGTTTTTATTACTTTGTAGAGAAGAAATCAAGAATCACAGTGTATCATGGAGGACTTCATACAATTTCCAATGCAAAGTAACAGCCAATGCCAGCACTGGGTTTCTGGACCCCTGTGTGTGTCGAGTCTCTGTGCGTATGGTATGTAACTGACAGAATTCAGACTACACACTTTACAAGTACAAGCATCAGGGGAAAGGCTTTTGTCAGTCTTTAATGTCTATAAAGCTTCACAAGAGTCTAGCACCCAGCTGTAATCAGATACAGAGAAATTATTACAAGTGTTGGGGAGGCATATACTTTTAGCTGTTATACATGTACCGGTAGTCTAGAATACATAGAAAGTAAATGATTGTATATTAAGAATTTTACAACTCTGAAAACTTAAAACAGGACGATTTCAAACACATTTAAAGAAAAAAATTAATAGGCATTTCTTAGTTTAGAATTTCAAATTTATTTTTACTTTTTAGTGTTGAAAGCATGATTTTAAATTGATAAATTTTACCCGAATATAAATGCGTTGTAGTTAGAAATTGGAAATTCCACCAGAAGCAATACTAAGGCAACATAATGACTTTGAGATATTCATTACAGGATCAGAAGGGAGGGAAGGCGTACCAGAAGCTGGGCTTTGTGGACATTAATCTGTCCGAGTTTGCTGGATCTGGACACCAGACCAGGAAATTCCTGTTGGAAGGGTATGACTCCAAGCATCGGCAAGACAACTCAACCATTGAACTCACCTTGGAGATGACCTTGATCTCTGGTGACCCAGTTTTTAAAGTGTAAGCAATAATGTATTGGTAAACAATACACCTATTTTTTGTCTTTAATTTTTGGTTAAACACTCCCAATAAATGAAAATAATACATAGTTTACCTGGTCCTCCTAATTAGCTAACATTAATGTCATGACACTGTGTGTTGTAACTTGTTTTTCAATACAGGCTATATTAGGGTCTAGGGAATCATTTCACACTATTAAGAGCATTCCTGTGTTTCTTACCAGACTTGCGTACTTGTTCACATTGTGTAATATGAAGACTCTAAATATCACTTTAGGGTTTGATAACATAGGTATAAAAACTAGAGAATCTTAATATCAAATGTTGAAGGGATTTCACAGAGCAAACATTTAATCCTTCAGTATTTGATTAAATTACATAACTTTCCTCAATTAGATGTGTTAGTTATTTTTTCTCCTAGATTAAATCAATTCCTTAGAACTTTCTATACAGCTTTGTATTCTTTAAGTGATTTATCAATCACCCTGTGGTTTACCTAAGGTAACTGAACAAAAAGTAAATAAAATTAATCAATATTAAAGGAAACCCTGTTCTGGGACTTAAACCTCCCTCAAAGTGTCTCTGTTGAGGTTTTTCTATGAAATATCCTGTCTGTGACCTGTCAATGGTCACACATTGACTCATAGGAAAGATAAAAATGTAAAAAAAAAACATACAGTGATACTTTGGTATCTCGAACACTGAATTATCTGCAAAAACATGGAAATGTTCAAGTAATTTTTTAAGTCCAAACCACTTATCCTTAAAGTATTTTACTCATGATATCTCAAATTGTTGGATATCTTTAAATTTGAGATAACAAGGTTTGGCTGTATGTACAAAAGATTAATAAAGATGGAGAGGAGAGTGTTGATGGAAGAGATTTTTTAACTTCAGCCCACGTCACACCACAAAGTGGTATGATGATATAGACCAGCCAGCTGTCCGTATAGAGGAGTGTAGTGAGGGCAGCCTGGCCTCTAACAGTGCCAGTAGTGGGTGTGGAAGTCTACCTCGCAAGGACCGTCCAAATATCATAACAGGTACGGTAGTCGTAAAATAGTCCAAATATCATAACCTGTACGTTAGTCGTAAGGACCGTCCAAATATTATAACAGGTACAGTGGTAGAAAAGGCTGTCCAAATATCATAACAGGTACGGTAGTCATAAAACAGTCCAAATATCATAACTGGTACAGTAAAAACCATCCAAATATCATAACAGGTATGGTACAAGCCGTCCAAGTATCATAGCAGGTACAGTACTCTACCTTGCAAGGACTGTCCCAATATCATGACAGGTAAACGTCCAAATATCATAATAGGTCAGTAGTCATAAGGACTGTCCAAATATCCGTATGGTAAGGACCGTCTAAATATTATAACAATTATTGTAGTCATAATGAACATCCAAATATCATAACAGGTAAGGTAAGGACCGTCCAAGTATCATAACAGGTAACAGGTCAGGATGTTAGTCAAACTCACAAAAATATTTTGGAAGTACCGGTAAATAGTTATAATGAATCAGATAATCACCAAATCATGATTAGTATTGAATCCAAAAGCCTAACGCATTCAGGCTTAGTATTTACCTCTGGGATAAAGAACTGTTTGTTTATGATAGACTAGCCTTATTATTTTAAAAAACTTGCTCAACTGAAACCAAAGTTTTTCTTGAATTTTCTTTAAAAATCCCTACATGATTGTACATTATATCCTTTCAGATTCTGCTGAGGTTGATTTAAACCCCCAGAATCCCGACAGTGAGGGATTGAAAAATCATCAGAGGAACGACAGCTACACCAGTCAGCACTCACGGGGGTCTACAGGGTACGCCTCGCTCGGTCACAGTCGCCAGTCTAGTGTAGGCAGCGAGAAGAACCCCTACGCTACTCACACTAGGTAAACAAACAACTCAGACATTGATTTACCAGAAGGAATTCCCATACAGATTCTTGTGATGTAAAGAGTTAAAGGAAATCTCAAAAGATTGAATGAACAGCAGTTTAATTTACCGTGCAAACAGATTTGAGAATGTTTATTTGGGTCTGAGTGTGCAGTTGAATACATACACACTTTTTCATTTTCCCAATTGATAAAGCTATCCTTTATTTTCTTAGAATTCAAAAAGGGTGAGGTGGGATTTAAGTGCATATTTCTGGAAATTCAAAACATGTCAGGTATAAAGGATAAGATTTCTCCCTTAAAATTTACTCCACTCCTTTTCATGTCTATTTAGAAAACTTTTTAAATCATGAATTTTAAGATAGTTAAAATTCTTGTGATATTTCAATCTGTATGGTTATTTAAAAATCAGCTTGAATTTAATCTTCATAGAATTTGAATTCGTTATCTGTGTAAATTTAAGGTTGATTATAAAAGATATAACTTGTAATTTGTGAAGTGAAATCCTTCTTTATGTTACAGCAGAAATAAATTTTATGATACTGTTAATACAACAGCAGTATATAAAAAGAGAGATATGGCTACAGATCATGGATGCTCTCAATTTAAAACAGCTTTCATTCTCCAATATCACAAGAATAAAAGGGAAAGGAAAAAGCAATTAAATGTGATATATTGATTTGTTTTTATTGATCGTGGTATAATATAAATGTCAGGATATGTTTCCTTAAGTAGGAGAGTCGTATTACTGATGAAGCTTGGTGTTTTTTTATTCATCCAGGAGCTCGAGTGCTGGCTCAGCTTTAATCAATGATCTCACAAAAGGTGACAGGAGGAAGGTAGGTCTCACAGTGACAGTCGCTCGCAGATTCAATGTAGCTAGGGTCACACTAATGATACAAATGACATTGAACACTTGGGACATGTAGGATGCCCTTTTTTAAAAAACAATTTAGTTGAAATAAAAATTTTCAAGATGATTGTTTTTGTATAAAAGTAATCATTTCAGATATAGTTCATTACACTTCAGTGTTAAATGCTCTGCAACAAAAAATTAACTTTTTTTCCAAATTGAAAATTTAAGAGTAAAGTGCTAAGTTAATGCTTTTCCTGTTAATGTTTTATAATTATATGAGCCGTTCCAAGCAAAAACCCCCCTTATGTAATCTGACAGAATTTTACGTCACAATAGAAAAAGCGACGTCATTGTTTTGCAACAAAAACTCTGATCAAAATCATATCGCGCACTGACTGCGTCCCAACTACATGCTTTATTTTACGTCGCAGAATTTTCTCCGCTGTGCTTTCTGCATATTTCCTTTCATGAACACATGTGTATTATCTTTTTTATCACATATCTGACTCTAATTGTTGTCAAACTACATATGTATTAAACATTAAAACGGCCTCATAGTGTTCTAATTTTAAATACATAAAATTTGTTAACACTTCGACGTTTATTCTGTTCCATGTACAATACAAGTTTTCAGTTAAACTAAATAAAACATGCAACTGTTGTTTAAAATTCATATTTACGACTCTTTCTTATTCAACAACGACATTATATTACATGCAATGATGATATTGAGTGTAAAAAATATTTTTTAAAAAGGAAAAAAGAGTAATTTGAAATGTTTTTTTTTAATCCTAAGTCTCGGCGAGAATTGATTTGACCGCACAGGGATTAACACCAATCAAACTGAATGACAGAATTGTTAAACCGCACCAATGCCAGATCTAAATCCGGGGTATTTTTTTTTCATTTATTGTAGACCCAGAACCTCCTGGAAGAAAAGTGACACTAGTTCAGCTAACTAAGCTACATTAATTGAATAGACGCATATCCAACATTCTCCTTTTTTGTTATGTGTTGGAAAGATCGATAACTTGTTAATACTGTTGTCAACCCCCCCCCCCCTCCCACCACCACCACCAAAAAAATTTAATATTTGTAATAAAGCATATATAGAAATAAATACATGCATGTATATCTTTTTACAAAATTTTGGAAGTTCTGAAAAGTACCGTATTTGACAAGCACAGTCACGTACATTATTTATTTCACATTCGGAAAAAAATGCAACCCCCCCGATCTGTTTTATGTGCATGATTGTAATCACAATATTTGTTCACCTGAGTGTAAATCGATTGCAAATAAAATACATTTCTAAAATATTTTAATCAGTTTGGATTTTCCCGATCTACTTCTTAAACTAACGTAGCAAGAAGTAAATGCATGTTCGTAATTTTCACCAGGAAGATGACATGCAGGTAAACATCACCTGATTTTTTCCCCACACAATGCTGGATCTTGGAAAATAAGAGAGCTAGGAGTATTTATCAAATTATAAACAATTTTGTCGAATGAATTGAAAAACGTTCCGACATGTTTTTTTTTAATGTATGTGCATGTGAAAATATTTAAGCGTTATCATTTTAGTAGACCTGGACCAAGACAACTCTTTGACATTGTAGATACAAATGTGAAAAAAAAAGAAATGAAGTTTATTTTGTCATTATATTGAGATTCCATCAGGAGACAATAAAATGATGAAAAGCGTCGTATAAAAATGCAATTTTTAAATTGATTTAATTCGGTTTTTAGTGCTTAATGGAAGATACAAAATTAAACAAATCATTAAATGAATGATGTTGACACCGCAAAGTATACATAATTATGTTTGTCTGAAAAGCTCCTAAATTTTTGCATTTCACTTAGCATTGCGGTGATATTAGCCTATATCTCATTACTTTCCATGATTTTGAGCGGTCACCCATCCAAGGGTTAAACAGGCTCGCCGTTGCTTAACTTGCCTGAAATAGAGACTAAGAGAGAGAGACACGACCGCATCACTAGAAAAGCTAGCTCACCAGCGTAAGTAAGTTCCCTATACTAGTATACTGTCCTCTACAGATGTCAAACTCAAAAGTCGGATATATCTTGTATACAAAAAGGTTTCTAGATAATTTGGAAATATCTTGTATATAAAAAAAAAGGTTTATAGATAACTGGTCCTCTTTTATCTTTAGCAGTGAAACTAAAGGTGATGACCCTTTCTCAATGTTTGAATTTAAATACATTGTAGCTTGAATGTTTATATGTTGTTAAACGTCCATCTCGAGAATTTTATAGCTGACATAAGGAGACTCCACTGCACTTGCCGGTGGAGAGCTGCAAATATTCCTATAACCGGCAGTTAGGGCCTTCGAGCAGCGAGGAATCTTTTTCGTGCCAGCACTTACTGCGACACGGGACCGCGATTTATACAGACTCATCCGAAGGACCGGTCTCCATGTAAATCTTACTAGAAGACTAAGACACAAAAGTAACCTTCTTAACCCCCCCCACTTTCAGAACACGTGGATTCTTTGTAAGTTGGTAAGGATGGTCAGATGTTCGAATATTTAATGTTAATGTAGTGACAGAGAATGGCCAACATTCGATCCTCCCTTTTCTGCACACAGTGGAACTTCTTTGTATGTGTGTAAAATATTGGGTAGACTGGGATGGAATACATATTACTAATATATGAGAAGCATTTTATTCCAAAGACAGTCCAATGTGCAGATTTCGCACGTTAAACTTGTTCTCTTTTCTATAATCGACGGTAATCAAATGTTGTACATCTGTGTCTGTATGGTTCGAGGACTTTAAAAGCTGCTCTAAATAGGCCCGTGACTTGCACGTTTTACTTTGTCTCTAAACTTTTTTTTTGCTTTTGACTAACTGGTACATTTTCAGAGGATCTTCATGATAAATAAGTGTTGACCTGTGAAACTTGCCTCATGATAACCTTTCGTTTTGTTGTTGTTTTTTTTAAACTGTGACATGTATGTTTTTTTATAACTTCAGATCGGATCACATAACTGACTTAAATATTTAGAAATTTTAAGTCTAACTTTCACAGATCTATGTGTAAAACACAAGAGGATCGACTCTCATAATTTTGTTTGGCAATGTTCTATATTTTAATGACATTAGACTACATGTATGTGATTGTACTGTAGAAAATACATTTTTTAAACAAAGCTGAATTATATGCCTTACCCTTTTTCTCAGTTTTTCAGGTCATGATTTTATTATTTATTTCATAATTTGAAATCTGAAAAGTATACACTTTAACTACTAGTATTCATAAATTACAGATTTAACATGTATATATCTAGTCTAAATTGCCTTTATGCTAGTACATATATATTTATTCTTTCATTGTCCCCCTTACCGTCTAATATTTTTTAACAAATGAGGACATCATTAAGCAAAGAAAATGCATATGTAGTTGAGTATTTAGAAAAAGGATAAATGGTACTCATCATTTACATTCAAATACCATTACCATGATTCTTTACAAAATCCTTACGTCGTGTTCATTGATAAAAGCGCAAGCCCCTGCCCCTTAATGCTGTCTCTTGGTTGGTGTTTTAAAGGCAAAGGTTGGACAAGTAATTAACATCAATTATCAAAAATATACATTAATGGGAACTAAACTATATTTTGTTGTTGCTGGTTTTGAAAGATTTGGGCTGAACTTAAGCGGTAAAATTGAAAGTGAATTTTTCTTTATAAAAGATCTATCAATTACATGCTGAACTTAAGCGGTAAAATTGAAAGTGAATTTTTCTTTATAAAAGATCTATCAATTACATGTATTTGAGATGTTTTCTCTAAGTCAGTGAATCATAGAACTATTTGAACTCCTTTGAAATATTTTCAATAAATATCAGAAAAAAATAAACTGAACTTTTTAATAAAAAATATTTTACAACAAATTAAGCACATATATAAGTTAGAACGGCAATACCAAGTTATTGCGTATAAGTAATTCATGTTTTTATTACGTAGCTATAACGTCGACGTCACTACAAGAGAAAATTTTATAAAATACGACCTCAGCTGTATAAATGATGCATACTTTGAATCCCTGTAAATCCGTAACGGAGCAAGATACACCCGTAATATTTACAGGTTATATTCACCCAAGGTTCTACATCATTTTTCAAGAAAAAAGTCATTTTCGGAAATTTTTGACATAAGGGGTGTTTTTGCTTGGAACGGCTCATATACACAAGCAAATCAAATATGTAAAACAATATTGCACTTAGAGCTTGTTTGGATTTAAGAAGTATATACAAAGGGAGGTAACCTCTTGATTACTAATTTTACAGAAACTGGAAGAGTTAGAGAAGGGTAAACGGGTGGATCAGACACGGGTCAATGCAGGAGAGGTGGTGGACGACTTGTTCAAAGAGTTCATGAGTTCAACCGAGCTCAGCACCAAAACCCAGCAGAGTAAGTGTGCTCAAAAAAGTTAATCTCTAATGCTAATCCAAATTTATTATGAGATTTAATCTCACTATCTTGAAATTTGAGGGGACACAAAAAAGGTGCAAGATATCCAACTGTTCTAGAAATCATGATGATTAAATGAGCTTTTCCACACTTCCTCATATCTTGTGCATTTGACATTCCCTTTGTTTTCAGTATACACATATTCCTTGTATTCAACATTACAGTTTTCAAGATACTGAAGTTTAAATACATTATAGATGTATATATTTTTAATTTACAAAGCATTTTCTTTATTTTCTTGATATAAAGGATTTTGAATGAATCAATGTAGATACATGTAGTCAAATATTAATTTTTTGCTCACCTGAGCTTAAAGTTCATGGAGCTTTTCTGATCATCTTTTATCTGGCATCTATCTGTTCATCTATCAACTTTTCACATTTTTGACTTCTCAAGAACCACTGAACCAATTTAAACAAATGTTGTCATGAAACATCTTTGGGTCAAGATGTTCAAATAAATGGTCTTTGTTCAAATGAAAGATCTTTGGGTCAAGGGGTTTATATTTTATGTTCAAATGATTCTCTTTCAAGAGGAGATAATCAAGAAAAGGCAAAAATACTTGAAAGGTGGGCTTTTTAAAAAAATCTCAAGATTCAAGAACCACTGGGCTAGAAAAGGTGAAACTTATTTGGAATTTTTTAGGTAATGTAAATTTTAAATTGTTTAAATTATGTAAGATATCAAACACTCAGAACACTCAAACTCAAATTTTGCATGGAATTTTTTTTTAACAAAATAAAACCATTAATTTGCAAACATGCAAGTTTATGTTAAGGAATTTTTTCCTTCAAATTATTGACCATTGTTAAAAGTTTGCTAAAGTCAGGATCAGATTTCTCATAATGCATGAATACGGGAAAAGAAATTTCTTCTCAATAACTGCAAGGTTATGTTAGTATATTGATATTGGAAAATCCCTTTGATGTGTGGATTCAATTATCTTGTAGTATTAAGGCAGGGACAATATATTTTAGGGTCACAGTTTTTCATGGGAAATTGAAATTTTTTAAATTATCTTCTGATGGCTACAGTAACTTAGGTGAGTGTTGTAATCCATGGGCCTTTTGATTAAAAAAAAAAAGATATTGGTTATTATTTGGCTTTGTGTCTTTTCTAGGTACTGGTCTACAGCTGCAGTTTGATAAAGAAGGAAATGCCTTTGTACGGTGACCCAATATTTCAGTAACCATGGCAGCATTCCATGGGATGGTTCCTTGTTGATCATGGAGAACAAACCAGACTTCAAGTCACACACAAAGACGGCAAACAGTCCCAGAAATGTATTGTGATATATTTATTCAGATTGCTGAGGACATTTATATCAGCAACTCCTTAAATGACAAGGACCTCAGTGTGAGATGGAAGGAGGAAGAAGTGGAAATTTGATCAAGAAACCCATTTCCAAGCCACATATATGTTTTATAGAGAAACTAGATTCACATTTTTAAAATCATAGAGTTTTTCGTCTAATGTATGTATTGTAAGTACTCTGCAGAAAATACATGTATAACTCTTTTAATCATTGACTGTTTTTATTAATCTCCAGACTATTTATTTATTCATAGGAAAAAATGGTGCTTACATTCACTTAAAGAGTTTCCATCTAATCTCACAGCTCCTATAATGAAATGTAGAATAAGTACATGTACAGTGGAGCCTCATTTATCCAGACACTTTGGTTCCTAGTCAATTTGTCCGGATATGTGAAGCATCCGTATACCTGAATCACCAGTTAAACAGGACAAAATAACATTTAAAAATTCTGTCCCGACGAAAAATCTTCCGGATACTGAAGCATCCGGATATCTGGTGTCCGGATATCTGAAGGTCCACTGTATTGTGTTAAGAATAATTTTACATGATTCTGTGTGTGATTTACATGTACTTTGTCATTTGAAAGCTAATAGAAAACTTAAGGGATTTTTAATTTTTCATTTTACAAAAGCTATAATGATGTTTGCAGTGTTGTAGCCTTGTAGGTTTGTTTTTCTCGATACAAGATGTAGTCTTGGTAGAGCTCACCACTAACGTTTTTCTTCAGGCTATAAATAGGCTATTAAGTAAACAATTATTTAATAGGTGCCTTAAAACTCTTCCTTAAAAAATTCACAGGGACCAAATCATGGATTACCAAATTTTTATTGAATCAGTCATATGATTTTTTTGAAATTTTAACGATTGCATGTTTTATGTATAATTTGGGAAATGATTGATCACCTTGGATATATTTTTGCTTGAGAGACATGACTAGTTTGTCTGTTGATATCAGAGAATCATGAAATTTTATATATGTCAGCTCTGATCTTTTTTAAAAAATTAATCCAACATTTTGTGTCTTCATTTTATATTGTGTTCACACAAGCTCAGTCTCATTGATGCCAAAGCTAATACTTCATACAATAATCTTGTTTTATATTCGTATTATAGAAGTTTTATTTTTTTAATCATTATGTGACAGATTTTAACAGACATTTGAGATGTGCTAAAGTATTATTACATATATTGTAAGCCGTGTTTCATGTTCTGTACAATATACAATGTAATGTTGAACTAGACCCATCCCTTAGAACAGGTCAATGAAGAAATGTGCACAATGAAATCCAGATAAATTCTCCGTCAGATCTTAGGGTGCTTAATAGCAGTTCAAACCTAGACCACCATATTGTACCGTAGTTATGATAATTTATTTTTAAGTCAGAGAAAGTAAACTGCTGATCCAAAATTGGCCTAAATCCATCCATGCTTTGTCTTTTCTTCAAGATGTAAGTGTAAATTTCATATGCTGCTCAAAACTACTTGCACATTTTATTACCTTTCAAATGCATCAATCACTTGAAAGTTACTGATTGTTTAGTGAATTCATAAGAATGGAGGCAGTTAGGCACATATGAGTGTTTATCTTTACTGGAAGTCTATTTTCTTTCATCATGATCACACAGAAATGTCAGTATTTATTAATTTTCAATTTTTTTTTCAGGTTTAATATTAATTTATAAACAATGTTTATAGTAGATTTCCTGTTTATCTTTAAACTTAATTCCTGTAGAATATTTTTTTCATTATTTCATATGGATATTGATATCAGCGAAAGATGTTAAACAACTACCTGTCATGACTTACAAATTTGATTGTATTCTGTGAAGATAGTATAATTAGAGATACTGCTGGCTGCACACTTCTGGCAAAACTAACTTGATCCACCTAACTACAACTCGTAATTTATCATGTCTTTGTGAATATATTCTCTAGGTGTTGTACTACTTACAATTTAATATATGTATTCACTCAACTTTCATATCATAGCACCTTAACACAACTGTGACTTTTTGCCATTGGGCACAGGAATAGTTCTTACAATAATACATCTACACTCAAAGTTAGAATGATCAGTTTGTTTCAAAATGCATGGGAGAGGCTAAATTTCAGTTTTGCTGTAAATATATGTATTATTTGAAAATATGACTTATAAATAAGTGTCTGAAGAGATGGGTATAAAAGTACTTTATATATGGAAATTGTTCCTTAACTCTGCTTTGTTCAGTATATATATTATAAAATCCATTTTTATTGTGTGATATTGACATTTAAATTGACAGTGTGGCAAATACATTTTCAAAATACATTTAATTCAAGTGCCTTTTCGGAATCGTTTTGGTAGCTACAGGTAAAAGTAAATCAGTACATGTAATAGTGCATTCTAGCTGTTGCCTATTTTGTATATTTATAATTTGATCTATATCAGATCGTGACATATTTAAGTAAGATTTTTATATAAAATCAATTTTTTTTTTTAACTGTAATGAAGAAAAACTTGATGTCTTCCTAACAAGGAAAATATTGAAAATCATTAAACAGAGTCTAGTCCCCAGTGTATGCTTTTTGTTATTTAAAAAGCAAATCAATTTGATCATTTTTTTACTGGTCATTATCTTTTTGTTTGTTTTCTATTAGATAATGCAGATTTGTTAATTCTGCAAAAAGAACACAAATGAAGTAACTAATTAAGCTGTCATTTTAATTATACATATCAGGAGCACAATAAATGGCAGACTGGTTGTCAATTGTATCACGTGACCTTGACCCTTGTGGCAATATGCCAGAGAGGTTACTTGTCATGCATAGTGCTATTTCGTTTGTAGATGTCTGAAATAAAGATTTTGATCAATATCAAATGCATTTGTTGGATTTGATTTTTAATTTCTATAATTACAGGTATCCATGTCCAAGGTTGTTCATTGATTATATACATGTAGTATATCTTCTCGCTCCTGGGTATTAAGCAGATGAACTACATATATAGCTATGATAAGCAAGGGTCCTTTTTCCAGAATTATGAATTTCAAGGCCCCTGGGTCAGGGTACTGTAGAAGGGTGGCTCTAATTATATACTGAAAATGAATCAATGCTTTGAAATCTGCTCCATGGTATAAATCAAACAATTATGATGAGCAAGGGTGCCTTTTCCAAAATTATGAAATGTGTGGAGACCCAGGGTCAGGGGGTTTCTGTGGGGTGGGGGCACTGATTATTGATTAATATTACTGATAAGATGAAATGCATTTTTTTGGTTCCCCAAGGCCGGGCCATCTATGCCCATTGGTATTAAGTAACCAAACTAATCATGCCAAGTGTATAGGTATAATGAGCAATGGTGCCCGTTTCAAAATTGTGAATGTCATGGCCTGTTTTAAAACATGAACCAAAGTCAATTGTTGGGAGGTTGTTTTATGATGGCCAGGTGACCTCTAAGGACCATGGGCCTTTGTGTCTTGTGTATAACAAGGAAGAAGATTTATGGGGTCACCAAAACTATTCTGGGTCCCCCACATAATTGTTTAGGTAATCTTTCTATGAATAAACCAAGCTGATATCCAAGGGCTTTATTTCACAAGTCACTACACTTCCCCCCTTAACTTCACACTGCAAGATCAGGGATGTTAAAAAGCACCAAAAGTAAAGGAAAAACATTAAATTTATGACAGGGCCTGGAAAACATTACCCTTGCATTAAAACTTGTATACTCTAGCCAGTGTGCTGTCTATGTCCACAGTTTCTTTAGTTCAAACTATAGTAGACAAAGTAATAGAATTCGATACAGCTGTACCATTATATAGGGGTCACATTCCTGGCAGTCTGATTAAAATCCAGGTATCCTTCTCCTATCATTGATGACAACAGAAGGAATTCCTGGCCTTTTTGTTTAATTTCAGTTTAGTGGTCTCTAAAACAATTTACCTGCCTTGCTAGCATAACTGTATCTGATATGAACTCATTCAATCCAACGAAGGACAGAAAATGTTGATAACTGATTACTTTCAACTTTTCACATCAGTTTCTATATTTATGAATTCATATCCAGCCATCACTGGGTCCTGCATATGGTGTTTAAATTATTTACTCAAGCGCATGCTTCTATAAGATCTATTTTTGAACCAAGGAAGGCTACTGACAGGTAAGTTGATGTAACAGGTATTTTAATAAATCGCCTTTCATTTTCACTTTTACACCCCTACTAATGTGTTCGGAACCTTTTATTTTTCGGTGTTCTGCAAATTATAAAACCCGATGAGTTCAGAGTAGCTCTGACAGTGGCTCTGGCGAGAGTTAGCGAGACTTCAGCGAGATAGGGTAAATTATTCACGGAAATGTGGCTAGGAAGTGACTAGCACGTGGAGACATGGTAAACAGAAAAGTTATGTTGCGTTTTAGATTTCACCACCCTATAATTAATCATTCTGTAGAAATGTACTTCAATCGATCGTTCTTGAATTTATTCAAGTTTGAATTATAAGTATTCTCTATGATACAATTTTCTGCTGTCATGAGTTAAAATTTCTTTTTGGATAAATATTGCATGGGAACCGGGACTATATTTTTGGGCGTCAGATTAGCAAATGAGGCACCAATGTGACTTTAACTGACAAATCAGATGAATGAGAATTGCATTATGGGTTACTATACGAATACTACATGAATTTTACGCTTGATGAATTCCTTTATTGTACTATCGGTGAATACAATTGTCAAGTGGATTCCCTGGTCAACACACGTGATCACGAGTATAGTTATGTAAAAAATGTTTTGTCCATTTAAATGCTTGTATTACGAGAAGCTGCTCGTTTTCCTTTCCATTGAAGTGCTGGTGTTCTGAACTTGACACTAACTACGTATACATTTTATTAAACATATTATTCTCTAGTTTACAACAAATTAAAAACGCCTGTGATATTTTTCATAGTTTCTAATGTTTGCACTTTGTTCATAAGAATATTTTTTTTATTTTGCACTCTATTGACATGATCATAGATTGACCTGAACAACGTGTTCGAAGTAATTTGGCCTAAACGTATTCAATCAACAATTGCTCAGTTGCTCGTGGTCAGATCCTCTTTGTGCATTAATAGCAATAGCCATATAAGGCAAACAAAGGTTTGTCAATGTAGATATTACACATTTTTTATTACCAGCGTATCGGTCGCTAGAGAGCTGTATTTTTTGCAGTAAACTATGATAAGATGCATTAATTGCTATTTAAACACACACACACCCTTTAAGCCACTCATTTCTGTTGAAAATCATGAAAGTCTTTCAGAAAGGTGTGGAAACATTTTTCACAGGACATGTTTTTCGAAGAAACACACTATAGCAATTTCCTGTTTACTGCCAATTTTATTTATAAAACCGGTTCTAGCCTATAACCTTTGAATAGGTAAACCTAAACCACGTGTCTTGAATTTGAATCACAATAACATTAGTAGGGGTGTTTTATTTTCTTTCAGTAATTTTTAAAACTATACCAAGACTTTGTAGTATTGCCCTCCCCAATGAACTGGGATCATCTTATTCTAAAAGTAGCAAGTTTAGTCCAGTAACACACTCAGATCTTGGGAAAATTGAATCTTACTCTAGATGTTGGGGAAACTCACCTTTATCAAAACATAGCATTCTAATTTGGATGGACTCTACATTGGCATAGATTGAATGATAATTCAGAAGATGTCTGAAACAGGAAATTTTGTTGATGGATGTTTGACAACACCATATAATGGGAGATTCAGGAAGACCTTTTTGCATAAAGCCTCGCTCTCTCATAAAACTAATTTCTGGAATGAGTCAATGACAATACAAATATTAATCAGAAAAGCTCAATTGAGCTAACAATGAATTGAGAACCAAGACAACTTTTACATCTTTTACATAGCCCTTTATTATTTCAATGAGCTACATTGTTTATAAGCTGAGATTTTCAAGGTCAAAAAATGAATAAAACTTTTTTCCACAACAAAAATCCCTCTGTGCTGAACATAACATTGTAATAGCAGTCTTTGGCTAATATACTAAGAACACACCCATCATCACAAGACTGTCTTCACAACTGACATAACATGAATCCCTCACATACTTATAAATATGTCAAGACTCTCTCGTCATACTAATCATGTCAACGTCAGACAGACTTAATGATAAAAACAAACTCATCATGCTTAGTGTCCTTGGACAATGTGAAAACAACTAATAAAAAAGAACATGTGAGAGGGAAGAACAACATCTAAATACATATATGTATATATAGTCCACATCATGTTCTCAGACAAGGGTGAGGGTAGGGGCAGATAACCTGCACCCGAGTCTGATAGAGAGGTAAGAACCTGGGGCACGGCTCTTCACCTTCTCCTACTACGTTCTCCATCCTGATCCTCGCTTGGGGCCTTCTCTTCTTCTTTCACTTTGTCTTGTATCTTATCAGCTGTCACTTTTTAAAGACTTTAAAGTCAATGACAGACACAAGATTTCAGGTTCATCATGGAGCTCACTTGTAACAATTCTGTTAACTAGGGCTAATAAAACAATACCTCTATAAAACCAAATCACATTTTTGCTTACTTAAAATGAACAAATCATTAAAAAGGTTACAAAGACCTTATCACTCAGTCAATTCACTATAACTTTAGTGTCACTGAGTTCCATTGAATTTCTCAGTTTCTATAAATTATCAGCATTTGAATTGCGGAAGAACTACAAGAGAGTCCAGGTATGTAAAACCACCTGTCAAAGTACACAACATTCTTTCATACATTCTTATTGATTTACTACAGATTGATGACTATTTACAAATTCATGACATCTGTACAGATTCAGCCAGGATGTCACACAGATGACTAACAACATGGCTTATTAACATGACAGACCTCAGCAGTATGTCTGACATAAAATATTGTGGAAAAGTTCACATCAATGCACAACTCTGAACTCCTTTAAAGTATAAAACTAAATGTATAAATATAATAAAATTTGATATAACACAATAATATGCCCCGACATAATGCTTCCAATAATTTACTGGGATTTTTCTCCCGCCTGTGTTCCTTCAGTGGTAGGATTAGCATTCTTACTGTCAGTTACCCCACCATTAGGAGTAGGAGAGGCTTTCTTTTCTGGGGCAGCAGTGTCACCTTTGGGTGGCACATTTTTGATGCTAGGCTTATTTTGTGGATTTAGGAAGCTCTGTGCATGAGCTAACAATCCTTGCCTCTCCTTGGCTTGCTGGGCTTTGAAGGCTGCCCCAACTTTTGAGGTGTTTTCTTGAGGGGGTGGTGGTGGACCTGGGGGTTTGCCCTGAGGGCGTGGAGGCCTGGGATTGACATTGACCGGCATCTGTCCAGCAGGTCGTTGAATTGGATTTGGGAAGTTTGCTTGGCTTGGTTGCACAGTGGGCCGGAAATTACCTGTGTTGATCAACATTTGTGGTCTAGCAACTGATCCTGAAAAAGACATAGCAAATATACATCACAAATTTGCTAGAAACCACTTTCCAAACAGACATCTGTGTGTAAGTTTTCAAATACAAGCAAATTTCATCAGAACTCACCTCCGGACTGCATGTGTTGACCATAGGAAGGGTTCATCTTTGGATTAAATGGTGGTGCATTGATGTTGTTGTGCACGTTGCTACTACCAAAGTTGTACCGCTGATTTCCAGATCGGTTTTGTAACTGATTAGTTCCAAAGAACTTGGAACCTCCTTGTGATTGTGGCACAGATGAGGTGACGCCAAAGTTTGTGCTTTGAGGCGGTGACTTCATCTGTAATATTTAAACAAATACGGAGCATTAATATTGCTGCATATGTCAATTATTTTCTCCCATGCTTGTCAGAAACTTCACAAAACAAC